CGTTACACCTGATCTTGAAATCTGATTCGTAGTTCAGGACATCTGCGCCACAAACCTGGCACACATTCAAGGTGTGCTACAACTAATTCTAATGACGCATGTCTTGAGAATACTGTATCGAATAATGAAGTTTATGATATGAAAAATAATGATGATAAAATCTGGAAGAATAATTTGAAGAAAATGTAATGCAAACAATTGAGAACATTGACAAGTTTGATCAAATTATGTATAATGAGGCCGTAATTGAATCTTCTATTCAAGCTACGCATAGTATTCAAGGAAAATCTTTAGAGGATTGGTTAGTTTGAAAAAATCTTGATAATTCTTGTGGCAGATTAAAATGAAATTCAGATTAAAATGAAATAATAATATAAAATCTCGAAAAATAAATTTTTTTTGTGTGTATTTTTTAGGTTAGGGGTTAGAATTAGGAGTTAGGATTAGAGTAAAATATATTAAACAAGTATTAGTGGGTTTTAGAAGGTTAGAAGGTTGAATAGAAAATGTAGATTTCATTTTAAATTATGATCTGTGACAATTCTTAGTCATTAAATTAATCATTATTGTATACGATAAATTGAATTTGCTGTTAAAAATTTTAAAAAATAAATATTAGACTTGAAGTTTTTTTTATCTTGGTATATTTATTTTATCATAATTGTAAGAATATATTAAAATATGTAAAAATATATAAGAATATAAAAATTTTTTTACCTATCTATAGTTTGCTAGAATGTGTGAAAAGTTTTTTTTTGCTAAAATATGCGAGAGTGGAATATGTTGGGGAGATTAGCTAGAATATGTGGGGTGTCTTAATTTTTTAAAACTAATATATGAAAATTAATTATTTTTAAATGCTAATTTCAGAATTAAAGATAAGTATTGATAAATATTTTTTAATCTTATTATTTCCACAACAATCATTTTTAATAAAATTTGGACTATTCAGATAGAACAGTATAAAAAATTCTATATAATAACTTTTTTCCTGTATCATCAAAAGAAGAGATTTGTTAAAGTGGGATAGCTATTAAACTGATTGTTCAAAGAGGTATGCAGATCAATTAATAACCAAAAATGATTATTTGTATTGCAATATAAAATTTTGTAGCTAATGTTAAATTTGCTTGTCCAAGCATTTTGTTGAATAATTATATTTATCCAACATGTTCTATGTACGCACTGGACATTTTCTGTATATATTATTCGATCACTTTCTAATCATGTGATAACTCAATTTTCGACCACTTTATATTTAAAATACTTTAATTTTGGTCACTTTATTAAAAGTATTATATTTGCACAGCTAAGTATTTATTAATTTGCAATTAATAAAAACAGTTACATTTAAGAGATCTAATTAATTTTTAAATTTATTTTTAGGTCATAATTTTGTGAAGAGGCTCCAGGAGGAAGTTGAATAATGATATTATTAACTGCAGATAAAAGTTTTTGATGCTTTCCATAAGAAGCCAACAATGGAGAACCTGGAAGACAAGGAGGTTTAAAGGGTGCTGTCACTGAAGAATAAGGGTGAGTTCAAGTATGAGACTTTAATTTAGAAAGTCTTGAAATCCTAGCCTTATTCGTATTTTGAGTTTGAGGTGAAGCAGTAAAAACTTCAATTGCTTGTGCTGTAAAAGCTTCAATTGCTTGTGCTGTAGAAACTTCAATTACTTGTGTTATAAAAGCTTCAGTTGCTTGTGCCGTAGAAACTTCAATTGCATGTGACATAGAAACTTCAATTGCATGTGCCATAGGAACTTCAATTGCATGTGCCATAGGAATTTCAGTTGCTAGTGCCGTACAAACTTCAATTGCCTTTGCTATGGAAATTTTGGTCGCTTGTGCTTCAGGAAGTTGAGCTGGTTGTGCTTCAGGAAGTTGAACTGGTTGTGCTTCAGGAACTTGAAATGCTTGTACTTCAGTAATTTGAAATACTTGTGTTTCAGGAAGTGCCAAAGGGAAGTATTTCGTTCAGTGTTTGAAACAAGTAAGACCTTTTGTAACTGAATAATTCTTCTTGGGTAGGAAGTTGTGAAGCTTGTACGAAACTCATATTGATAAAAGTATATGTAAAAAGAAGTGAACGAAATAAAAAAAAAAAAACAAAAAACAAAAAAAACGCAAAATTAAAAAACAAGAGGTAAGCAAAGAAATTAGTAAGTGAAGGTAAATGTGAGTTTAAATGATTAGAAAGTGATCGTTAATATATAAACGAAAAATAACAGTGCTTACATCAGACATTACGGATAAAAATGTTAGATGTGATTAATTTTAGATTGATTTGATTGTATTTTTAATAAATTAGTATAATATTACTGTTTTAAATATATTGTTAAAGTTATATTTAAAGTTATTTGTTAGATTTAACATAGTTTCTGGGATATAGTTATGCCAATTCCAATGTAATACTATGAATTAATTTGAAAATTGTATTTCTACAATATGGGGCCTTTGCAGTAGAAAGGGCAGAAACTCGAATATATATAATTTTAAGAAAATCCAATTTAAAAATTTGATCATATGTAAACAAATCGTGACAAAAATAGAATATTTACTCTATGATACTAAAAATAGATTTGTCGATAATCATCAAAAATTTGATCGCGTTTTATAGTAGAGATAGTGATAGTGTTCTTTATTCTTTTTATTTTATTTATTAATATCAACATTTTTTTTCTTTTTCAGATATAAACTCCCCTTCCTAACCCTAAACCGAACCCTAACCCTAACATAAACGAACTTCGATGAATTTTTTGCTGCGCCACAAACCT